AGTTAGAGCCCTCAATCCCAAAACCAATAGGGGGCCTGCCAGCTCATTGGTGGAGGGGCCTCGGCCCAGCCCCAGCCGGCGGCGCGACATGACGCGTTGGGTCCATACCGAGAGCCGGCTCCCCGGGGACAGGTGGTAAGTCCCGTCTGTTCTCCCTCTGCCCGGAGTCTGGGGCCTGCAGAGTCCAGAGTGACACGGTGGGGATCCAGTCTGGAGTGTGCCCCTGGGACCAGGCTGCCCTGGGCCCGTAGGCACGGCGGATCCGCCAAACTGGCTCAGGCCATGGGTCCATCCAAGGGACAATCCCTGACCGTGGCCTGCGCCAGATGCTCCGGGGGAAGATGCAAAAAATCCAGCAGTTACGGGAAGGTTCTTCTTCCCCCGGTCGCTTGGTGGGTGGATTGTGCCTCGTTTGATCTCGCTCACGTTTGTATCCTGCCCAGCAGAACTGCCACTGTTCTGATTCCCCGAAGAGCTGTCTCCAGCCACTCTCCCGGCTGTAACAGGAGGCGGAGGAGGGGAGCTCCGGAGGTTAATCGTCCCTTGCGTGAGAGGGTATTTCCTTTGGTCGTGCTACAAGTGCTACAAGAGCGAAGATTTCTGGTGCTGGGGGCTTTTTCATTCGGACAGTAACTGCATAACTAGATCCCAGGACAACGATTCACCATTGGGACAACCCACTCGGCGATGTGCTGGGTTCTGCATCCCGCTGAAGTTAGGGGTGTGATACGGGCAGCACAGGGTACAATGACCAAGCCTGTTAGGAAGGAAACCAGAGTAGCTGATTCAAATTCTCCCCATACGATATGATGGGGACTAATTTGGCTACAACTACTCACGAGAGAGATCTTGGAGACATTGTGGATAGTTCTCTGCAAACATCCACCCAGTGCGCAGCGGCAGGCAAAGAAGCAAACAGAATGTCAGGCATCATTACAAAGGGGATAGAGAACAAGACAGAAAATCTCTTATTGCCTCTCTATAAATCCATGGTGCGCCCACATCTTGAATACTGCGTATGGATGTGGTCGCCTCCTCTCAAAAAGTATCTATTGGCATTGGAAAAAGTTCAGAAAAGGGCAACAAAAATGATGAGGGGTTTGGAACGGCTGCTGTGTGAAAAGAGGTTTAAAAGACTGGGATTTTTCAGCTTGGAAAAGAGACGACTAAGGAGGGATATGATAGAGGTCTATAAAATCATGACTGGTGTGGAAAAAGTGAATAAGGAAAAATTATTTACTTATTCCTACAATATAAGAACTAGGGGTCACCAAATGAAATTAATGGGCAGCAGGTTTAAAACAAACAAAAGGAAGTTTTTCTTCACTCAGCACATAGTCAACCTGTGGAACTCCTTGCCAGAGGATGCGGTGAAGGCTAGAACTTTAACAGGGTTCAAAAAAGAGCCAGATAAGTTCATGGAGGTTCAGTCCATCAATGGCTATTAGCCAGGAGGGTAGGAGTGGTGACCCTGGCCTGTTTGTCTGGAGGTGGGTGACAGGGAGGAACCACCTGAGGATTCCCTGTTGTGATCCCTCCCTCTGGGGCACCTGGCATTGGCAGCCAGGACACTGGGCTGGTTGGCCCATTGGTCTGACCCCCTTTGCCCGTTCTTATGTTCTTCTGGCCCTTCAATTGGCCCTGTGGAGGCCAGATGGAGATGCCCAGGGTCCTCTGTTAACAGCCTCCCTTGGTCGGGGGCACTAGCGCGGTGCGGGGGCTCACTGAGGCATTGTGCTGCCGATCCGCAGGCCCCGCACCCGGAGCGTCTGAGCCGGCGTGAGGAGCCCAGCCAGTGTCCGAGATGCCGGACGCCGCCAGCCACCTGCCCTTCTTCTACGGCAGCATCTCGCGGTCGGAGGCGGAGGAGTACCTCAAGCTGGCCGGCATGGCCGACGGGCTCTTCCTGCTGCGCCAGTGCCTGCGCAGCCTGGGGGGCTACGTCCTGTCCATGGTGCACAACCTGGAGTTCTACCACTACCCCATCGAGCGCCAGCTGAACGGCACCTACGCCATCGCGGGGGGCAAGGCGCACTGCGGGCCGGAGGAGCTCTGCGAGTTCTACTCCAAGGACGCCGACGGGCTGTGCTGCACCCTCCGTAAGCCCTGCAACCGGCCCAGCGGCGTGGAGCTGCAGCCCGGCATCTTCGACAGCATGCGGGACAACATGGTGCGGGAGTACATCCGGCAGACCTGGAAACTGGAGGTACCGGCTGGGCCCCGGCCGCGCGCGGAACCCCCACCGCCTGCCCCCCTCCCGCCATCTTACCTCAGCCCGTCCCGTCCTAGCACCGCTGGGCCGCCTGCCCGTGGGAAAGGCCTGAATCCCTCTGCCTAGGCCTTCAGACCCGCTCTCCCGCAGGCAGTAGCCACTGCAGGGCCCCCAGCTCCGGTCCTAGGAGGGGCTGGACTCCGTGCCCAGGTACAGGCCGAAACACCATCATCCGGACTTCCCAAGTCTAGCAACACCCAGCAGCACCGGGGCGACCCCGCGGGGCCAGGAGCCTTGCCAGACCGGGGGGGCTGAGAGAGCGGAGCCGTGGATGGCAGCAGAGCTGTGTGTGTGAGGGGGAAAGGGAGCCTCTGTCCCAGGGGTAGAGGGCAGCAGTGGGGTGGCCAGGGGGAAAAGAGGAACCTCCAGCGTCGTGACCCCCCCAATCCAGCTCCAGGACCAGTCAAGTGCCGAGGGTGCCGGACCAGGGAGGTTCGACCTGTAGGTGCCATTGGGCGCTCAGCGAAGTCCCAGGGATGCAGGAGCGGGGCATTGGAGCAGGGCTAGCTTGTCCGGGCTCCCTGGCTCCAGGCCCTGCACCGCAGGGTAACGGTGCACGTGGTTTGGAACAGGGCAGCACGAAGGGGGCCGACTCGCTCAGCCAGCCCCACACACAACGCCCTCCTGTCTCCAGGACCCCCCTCCCCCAATCCTTGCCTGCAGGGCTCCACGCTCCGGCTCTTTCAGACCAAAGGGGGAAGCGTGTTCTTGTCCGGGCTCCCTGGCTCCAGGCCCTGCACCGCAGGGTAACGGTGCACGTGGTTTGGAACAGGGCAGCACGAAGGGGGCCGACTCGCTCAGCCAGCCCCACACACAACGCCCTCCTGTCTCCAGGACCCCCCTCCCCCAATCCTTGCCTGCAGGGCTCCACGCTCCGGCTCTTTCAGACCAAAGGGGGAAGCGTGTTCCAGTTCTAGGTGTCCGCCGCTTTTTTCCGGCTTTTAGAAAAGCCGGAAAAGAGCGTCTACACTGGCCCCAGAGCCCAACACTCCCTGCCCAAAGTAGGAATAAGATCCTCCGGAAAAGGGCTTTTTTTCCGGAGGATCGGGGCCAGTGTAGACGCTCTTTTTCGGC